GTATATGTGTGTGTATAGATTGTAGATTATGTATATATATATATATATATATATATATATGTATGTATATGTGTGTGTATAGATTGTAGATTATATATATATGTATATGTATGTGCACTGTGGAGACACCTGCGGTGATGGGAAGGGCTTAATGCGAGAAAAAACAGAAAAAGGAGACAAAAGGAGACAAATGGACACAAAAGGAGACAAAAGGAGACAAAAGGAGACAAAAGGAGACAAAAGATGTAAAGACAGAGGGAAGAAGAAAAGAAGAAGGAGGAAATACAAATGAAGAATAGTGAAGGAGACAGAAGAAAGCAAAAGGCGACAAAAGGAGACAGAAGGAGACAGACAATTAAAGGGATTGCATAGATCAGCAACAGTTTAGAGAAAGAAACAGCAATAAAGAAGGTTGAGTAGGAGGAGACAAAGATGCTTCATATACACTGCAGAGACGGTGCAGAGACACCTGAATAACGACTGTCTCCTTTTAGAAACGCATTTCTCCTTTCTAGGTAAGCTGCAAACAATAATAATTAAACAGACACACTTCAACTGAAAAGCAATGTACAACATACACCACATATCAACACATTGTCCCTTGGCATTTGGCTAAAGGCGATTCTTGCTGCTGCTGCTGCTGCTGGTGCAGCACCCGCAGCAGCAGCAGCAGCAGCACAGCTGCAACAGCAGCACAGCAGCAGCAGCAGCACAGCTGCACCAACAACAGCTGCAACAGCAGCTGCTGCAGCAGCAGCAACAACAGCTGCAACGACAGCTGCAGCTGCAGCAGCAGCAACAGCAACAGCGAGTTGTATGTTAGCAGCTGTTTGTCGTTCACGTGGCGCTTATATCCCTCTGGGGGCCCCTCAGGTGGAGCAGCGGTGGGAAGGAGGCAGCTAATGCTGCAGCAGTTGCTGCTGTCTCCTTTTGTGTTGTGCTGCTGTCTCCTTTTAAGTAAAAGGAGACAGCTACAAAACACAAACCTAGTTGAGACAGAGGGGGCAATTTGAATATCCGCATGCACTCAGGAGACAGACAGACAAGAGACAAAAGAAGAAAGTAGACAAAGATAAACAAAATAAAAAGACAGGAGACAGTTAGTTTGTTGCTTTGTTGTTGTGCAAGAGAAAGAAAGAAGAGACACTTCGTTTGCTGCAGCAGGGCCTCCTCCATTTGAATTACAAGAGATTAGACAAACAACAATAATATATAATATATAATATGATATAATCTATATAGTATATACAATATATATATAATGTATATTGCATATTATATATTTTATATATAATTAATTATTGTCTTTATTATTTATATTATTGTCTGTAGACGAAAAGGAGTTGGGGAGGAGAGACAGAAAAAGTGCTGTCTCCGTTTGCTGCTGTTGCCGCTGCAATAGTTATATAATGTATATATATAGATATATATTAGATTAATATATACATATATATATAGATATAGATATATACATATATATATAAATATATATATATATATATATGTATATATTGTATGTATATTATATATAAAGAATAACTAAAGCACAGCAAAGCCCTCATGTTCTTCTTGCTTTGTTTTTAATTCTTTTATTGTATTTCTTTTTTATTTTATTTTTTATTTATATGCAAAGAAGAAGAAGAAGATGTTGCTGCTGGAGTGTATATACACCTCAAGTACGAGTTAGTGCGGACTCTAACGAGAGAGATTAGGGATAATAATAAATAAAAATTAATTAATTAGTCTTTGATGCACAAATGTATATTTTTAATGCAATTTAAAGAAGAAAATAAACATTAATTCTCATAAAGAGCAGAACGAGAAAAACCCCAGGGCTAACCAGCGGTCTCTGTACAGCTAAACCCTAAACCCTAAACCCTAAACCCTAGACCCTAAACCGTGAGCAGTTTGACTCCTTATTTATATCTGTGGAAGGATATAAATAGACAAGTGAACTGAAAATACTGCACAAACCCTAAACCCTAAACCCTAAACCCTAAAAAGAGACAGCAACAGCCGACGCAACCGACAGGCGACCGCTGGTCTGTCTCCTTTTGTCTCTGTTTGTCTCCTTTTGTCTCCTTCTGTCTCCTTTTGTTTATTTAGCCTCTTTTATCTCTAACAGAAACAAACTCGTTGTATGCTGCTACTTCTTTTTCTCTCTTCTTCTTCGCTTCATCCCGCTGCTGCTGCAGCCGCTGCTGTTGCTGCTGCTGCTGCTGCTGCTGCCGGGAGTGAGGCAGAGTAAATAAAATTTCTTCGTTCTTTGCTTATATATCTTAAGATAGAAGGAAAGGGTTTTTAATTGTATCTTCTTTCTTCTTTTGGAGTTGAGGTGTACATACACCTCAGCAAGCAGTAGTCTCCTTCCGTGGTGTATACGCAGCTCGAGGCCCTCTCTTTTCGTTTCATTAAAATCAACAGACATTTCAACGCCTTTCTTATACTTCTTTTCTTCTTAAGAAATGCAATTCAGGTGTATATACACCTGAAGTGAGGCCTCTTCGCCACCTCGGGGTCTCTCGCCTCTCTCGAACACCAAGGTAGTCAGTCGGCTGCTGCTGTTGCTGCTGCTGCGGCTGTTGCTGCTGCTGCTGCTGCTGCTGTTGCTGCTGCTGCTACTGCTGCTGCTGGTGCTGGCTCTTTTGCTGTTGCTGCTACTGCTGCTGCAGTGCAGCAGCTCCCCTGGAATGCTTTTGCTGGAGCAGAAAGGGCGAGGTTCCTTCCCGCTGCTGCTGCTGCTGCTGCTGCAAGGGGGCCTTTGTCTGCTACTGTTGCTGCTGCTGTTGGGATGTATGTGCAGACAGGAAGGCATTGATAGAGTTGCTGATTTGTTGTGTGCGTTGTTGGGGTGTACAGGCAGGTGTTTTTCTTCTTTTTTTTCGGTCTTTCTTCTCAACTCTCCGTCAAAATGAAAGAGGCATTTGGAGGCACCTCAGGTGCTTTGCTGCTGCCTCTGCTGCTGCTGCTGCTGCTGCTCTGTCCCCTGCAGCAGCAGCCAGACTGTCTCTCTTCTGGGTTGCAGCTGAGTGGCTCCCCTCCTCGGCTCCGTCGCCCCCAAACATTAGACAGTGAAAACTCTATAAAAGAAGAAGCAGCAACTGCTGCTGCAGATAAACAAGAAGACGCTAACCTACAGCAGGAACAGCAGCAGGAGCACCACGACCAGCCCCAGCACGACGAACAGCAGCAACCGCAGCAGCAACCGCAGCAGCAACCGCAGCAGCAACCGCAGCAGCAGCAGCAGCAGCAGCAGCCGGGTAGAAAGGAGTCAACTTTGTCAAGCAATGATTGGATGGCTATTGCTTCTGCTGTCTCCTCCCACCTTCATTCTGAAGAAAGAGAAGGCTGTGCTGCTCCTTCAGTTATAGGTGAGAGAAGCTAATAAACTGTCTCCTCTGATTTGTTTATTTGTTTATTTTGTTTGTTTGTTTGCTTGCTTGCTTGCTTGTTTGTTTGTTTGTTTATTTGTGTGTATTGTACAAGGGTTTAGGGTTTAGGGTTTAGGGTTTAGGGGTTAGTGTTTAGGGTTTAGGGTTTATGGTTTATGGTTTATGGTTTAGAGTGTATGATATAATGTTTAGTGTTTAGGATGTACAGTTTAATGCTTAATGTATAGGGTTTATTGTCTAGGGTTTCGAGTTTAGGGTTTAGGGTTTAGGGTTTAGGGTTTAGGTTTGGTGTGTATGTACAGAGGAGCCATCTGAGCTATCGGAGTTAACCCTAGAGCTGCGTTCTTGCAGAGCTTTTAGACAACCTTTATTAGTAATAGACGGAGGTAGCACGGGCACTCGAGGAGCATTGTTTGCAGTTGGAGGAGAGAGCTGTCCTCGAAGAGGAAGGAAGGTGCTTAAGGAGACACTATATTTACTTGAAGAGGGTAAGAGACAACAGGGATTGCGACAGCTTATAGAGAGCTGGCTTACTAAAGAGGCTGGGCCTTACTGGGCGTCGCATCCGTTTGATGCTCATACATTGCTTCATAGGTATAAGAGCATGAAAGAAGAAGCAGCAGCATTAATTCATGCTATACTTGAGGAGACAGTTGAAAGCATTAAGAGACATTTTGATCCGCTGCAGCAGCAGCAAATCAAGGCTACAGGTATACCCGTATTCTTCTACAGCACTGCAGGAATTAGAGATACTCATGACTGGTATCGCAACGGCATCTTTGCTGCTTTTATTAAAAGCATTAACAGCTTCAGCAGCAGCAGCAGCAGCAGTGGTGATGAGGGCTTTGCTTTCTTTACTAATGAAGACTGGACTAGGCCTATCTCGGGTACTGAAGAAGGCTTACTCGCATTTGTTGCAGCTAATCAGCTCTTGGGAAACTTTAAAAAAGCAAAAGACATACAGAGACAGCTGGAGGCAACAAAAGAGGAGACACAACGGAGACAGTTAGAGATTCAACAGACTCAGAGTCTTACAAGTATTATTGAAGTGGGCGGGGCCTCTACTCAAATAGTTTTTCCTGTCTATAGACTAGGAAGCATGCCTTCTTTTGTAAAGATAAACAACTTAAACTCTGCAGGATATTTAAGTGAAGAAGACCCTATATTAGATATATTATCTACATCTTTTATGCAGCTGGGAGCAACAAGTGCTACAGGTATTTTCTATAAAGCTTATTGCAGCAATAAAGACAATTTAGTAGACGGTATCTGTTATAATCCTTGTCTTCCTAAGGGCTTTACTCAACCATGCTCTACTGGAGAAGTAACTGTCTCTTCAACAGGGGCTGTCTCTGTTGCTGAGGGTTTGCAGCAGCAGAGGCTACGACCTGCAGCACAATATTGCACTTCTTCTAATAAAGAAATAGCAAAGAAGACGCTTAATAGGCTTTCATGCTTAGGAGTAAGTATAAACCCTGATGAGCCTCTTACAGAAAGATTGAAGATATCCGGGTGTATGCAAATGAAGGGGACAGGAGACTTTGCTGCATGCGCCGCTGCAGTTGAAAGCATATTATTGAATCCGTCTCTACCTCTTCCTGCAAACCAAGAAGCTTCTTATACAGGGTTTGACTCTGTCTCTCAGATATTTTATTTTACAGAGACAGAGGCCCCTATTGTACTGACAGGTAAAGCTATCGTCAGCCCTATTAAAGATATGCAAACAATAGGTTTGCTGCCTCATACTTTCTCTGGAGACCCCTGCGAGTTAAAGGAAGCTGCTACTCGTTACTGCAGCGCCCCTATTGTACGTACGGAGACAGGTCAATTAAGGAGACACATAGATATACTTCATCCAGAAGGAGAGACTGCAAGCCCAAGCCCTCATGCTGATGCTGCTGCTCCTGCTGCAGCAGCAGGAGCTGCTGCTGCTGCTACTTCTATTACGAGTCTAAATCTGGAGAATTGCTTCAAGCTCTCTATGAGTTACGGGTTATTGTCTCTGTTAATGAAGAGGAAAGTGCATCCGAATAAGATAAGCTTTGCTTTAGATATAGTAAACCCTCAAACAAAACAAAAGATAGGAGAGTACGGCTGGGCTCCAGGAGCTATCTTAAGAGCTCTTGCTGATAAAAGGAAATGGAGTCTCTATGCATATGAGTTGGGCATACAGCACACTGCTATGGACAGGTTCGCAGCAGCACACCAGCAAGAACAGCAGCTGCAGCAGCAACCCGCAGCAACAGCAACATCAGCGCCAGCAGCAACAGCAACAGCAGGAGGAGGAGGAGCAGCAGCAGCAGCAGAAGCGGCAGAGGGAAAAGGAGAAGGACAGGAGACAGCTGCTGGGGAAAAGGAGACAGGAGACAGGTCTGCATAAAGGCAACAGCAAGATGAAATGCAGCAAAAGAGAGACACATAATGCTGCAGAGACACCTCCAACTTTTAAACATTCACCTCAGCAGGCATAGAACTTCAAGAGCACCACCGCCAGCAACAGCAACAGCAGCAACAGCAGCAGCAACAGCAGCAGCAACAAAGTGCTCTTATAGATGGTTTCTCTTGGGGAATATCTAATAACTGAAGTTGGAGAGAGAAGAAGAGACAAAAAAGAAGATGACAGCAGAAAGAGAGTTAGTTGTCTCTTTCGACGAGGAGACAGTAGATTTGTTTTGAAATAAGCAGAGACAAAGGAGAAGAGACAGCGCCTGCCTCTTCTTACCTTCACATTTTGTCTCTTTATTAGGGTTTAGGGCTTATGTGTGTCTCCTTGCATATCTCTTTTTATTTGTTTATTTTATACTCAGCTGTGAAGCAGCAGCTCCTCAATGGCGTTAGATAGAGGAGATACCTAAAGAGTCCCTTCTTTTTTGTCTTTATTATTTTATTGTTGTTGTTTTAATTTAATTTATTTACTCGCAAACGCACTTGTCCATCTAAACAGAAAGGAGACAGAGAAAGACAGCGTGCTGGGGTGTATAGGCACCTCAAAAAAAAGAAAACAACCAAAAACCCATATATATTCCTATTAATAATATTTATTAATGCATTTAAATAAATGTTTATGTTTAATTGCAGCACTCAGCAAACCCCAGACTGAGACAAAGCGACAGAAAGAGAGAGGAGACACATAAAGAGAGACAAAGACAATAAACCCTAAACCTGAGAACAGAGACAACAAAAGGAGAGACAGAGAAACAAACAAAGAAAGAGATAGAGAGAGATGCAGGCAGACACACAGAGACAGAGAGAGATGTAAGGAGACAGAGACAAGGAGACAGAGGTAGTTGCATAGAGACAAAACGAGAAAGATAGACATACAGAGACAAAAAGCTGTTCTATTTAGAGACAGTTGTTATTAGAGACATTCTTTATTAGAGACAGCTGTTGTTGTTTGAGTGCTGTTTTTGTTTGGGGGTTTCTTTTCTTTTTTTATGCAGTTGCTCTATTATGTTGCATTTGTCTTATTTATTTATTTATTGTTTGTTTGTTTGTTTGTTTGTTTGTTTGTTTATTTGTTTAATGCATAATGTAGTAGATTTGCATGTAAATATATATAAATATATCTATAATATATTATATTATAACTATGTTCAGGTTGAGTCTTACAATATTCTAAGCCTCGCTGTATGAGTTTATTATGAAGGGCTGAGGCACTCCTAAGAGCGGCTTTACTTTCATTGTTATTAAATAATAAAGCATTAGAATAAAACATTAAATAAATAATTCTTTTTATTTATTTAAAATAAAATAAACATTATTATTAAAATATTTGTTGTGTATTCGCCGCTCTACTGCTCGCGCGAGCCTCTTGCTTATTAGCGGTGGAGGTATTGAAGAAGTTTGAGGAGATGAGGGGTTTTTGTGCAGCAAGAAGAGAGGAGAAAAGGTAATAAATATAAAATAAATTAAATAAAGTGTTTAAAATATTGTAAATAAGAAACAAAGAAAGAAGAAAAAGACAAGAATAACAACAGCTCCTCTGCGTAGGGCGCAGTGAGTGCTGCTAAGGGAGCGGCGGGTATGTATGAAGTATATTGTTTGAGACGTTGATATTTGTATAAATATAAAAGAAATAAGTTTAAATAAAAGAATAATTCAAATATAATTAATTTTTAAAATCTATATACCCTTATTTTCGTGCACATCTATCGAAGCTTCTTCGCAGCCTTTATCGTAAACAGCGCCTCCGCTGCAGCAGAGCTGCATTACTTGTTGCTGCATGTTTTTGCTTTTGTTTTTACTTTTTTTGGATTTTGTTTGCTTTATAAGACATGTAGAAAGATATTCCTTTGTTTTCGTCTCTGTTTAAAGCAGAAGAAAGAACAAAGGCTCTCCCCACCTACAGCAGCACAGCCAGAGCGATTGTTGCTGCTCCTGTTTAGCCTTCCCTCTGCTGTACATACACCCTAGAAACATTGTTTTAATACTCTATTTTGTTTAATTGCATGCTGGGAAGGGGAAGGGGCATCTTGCATCTCATTAACAGCTCGCCAGCTGTTTCCTCAACTTCGACTCAAACCCTCTTCTTTGCTGCAGCTACTGCTGCTGCTGCTGCTGCTGCTGCCTCTACTGCTGCTGCTGCTGCTGCTGCATTCATTTAAAGTAGCAGCACACGAGAGAGCAGCAGCTTACAGGGAGGCAGGCAAGAGCCTGCAGCTTTGTCTACACCGCTGTACGGCTGCTGTGCAGCAGCGAGAGCAGCAGTAGCAGCAGCAAGAGCAGCAACGACAGCGGAAACATCAGCAGCAGCAGCAGCAACAGCAGAAGCAGCAGCACCAGGATATCCTCCTTGTCTTATTGGTTTCTGTTTGTCGCAAGTTTTAATTTCTTTTTGCTCAACTTCGTCTTAGCGTGAAAGGTTTTGATATTTGCTTTTTATTGCTGGTTATTTAATAGAATACAATTTCTTTCTTCTGGTGTATATACACCTTTTTGTTGTCTTCTTTTTTTCAAGATGGGGACCATGAACGGCAGGCGGTGGGGTTGTTGTTATATTCAGCGCGGCGGGATCGTGCATGCGCTGCTGCTGCTGCTGCTGCTCGCAGCAGCAGCAATTTTTTTGCCTTTGTCTGTTCTAGGAGAGGAGACAACTTCTTCTATATATATAGAGCAAGAGATAGTAAAAGGGAGGGGCGATAGCAGTATTCAAAAGCTACAGCAGCAACTGCAGCAGCTGCAGGAAGAGCAGCTGCAAGAACGCGAGCAGGAAGTGCAGCAGGAGGAGGAGGAGCAGCAGCAACAGGAGGAGGAGGAGCAGCAGCAACAGGATGAGGAGGAGGAGCAGCAGCAGCAGCAACAGCAGCAGCAGAAGGTACAGAGCGCAGTAGTGCCCGGCAAAGAAGAAGTGGTGAAGAAAATCTTATCACACCCCCCTGCCGGGTTTGCAGAGCTCGCTAATGCGCTGTCCTTCACAATTTACGGTAAAGATAAAAGAGGCAACTACGTCGCCTTCTGTGATGTAAGATACACCCTAAACCCTAAACCCTAAACCCTAAACCCTTAAGAAGTAAGGTAAAAAGGTAAAAGAAGAAACTACGTCGAGTTCTGTGATGCTCGATACACTTAAACCCAAAACCCTAAACCCTAAACCCTTAAGAGGAAAAAGTACATACGCTATGTCGCGCTTTCGGATGTGAGAAGAAACTCCTAAACCCTACGATTATAAACCCTAAACCCTAAGTTTGTAAACCCTAAACCCTACGATTATAAACCCTAAACCCTAAGTTTGTAAACCCTAAACCCTACGATTATAAACCCTAAACCCTAAGTTTGTAAATCCTAAACCCTACGATTATAAACCCTAAACCCTAAGTTTGTAAACCGTAAGCCCTAAGATTGTAAACCCTAAACCCTAAGTTTGTAAACCCTAAACCCTACGATTATAAACCCTAAACCCTA